GGGCGTTGTCATCTGTTAAAAAAGTTAATATCAATTGAATTAACATGTTAAACAGCGGGGGTTTAAGAAATGTAATTTAGTTAGCCTGTTATATGAAAAATTCAAATATGTATGGATATCAAACGAAAGAGGTTTTAAGAAAGTTGTATCTATTTCGCAAATATTTTTGAAGAGGGTTGCCATCAGCTTAGGAATTTAACACCAATTTAATTGAAAAGTTAAATGAAAACTTATTAATATAATAAATGTGAAAGTTTGTATGGCACACAGACATGACCTGGATTAACATATGTATATGTTTTATATCTTTATATCTAAAAGTTAGATTCTATGTTAAGTTGTAAGTTCAACAAACTTTTACAAAATGTACAAAACGGATGCCAAAGCACCGAGATTGAAAAAAGCTTTATAATAAAAACATTTTTAAGAGGATTCCCACCTATTTTAAAAGTTAAATTAAATTTTATTTTTAAGATGAATGCAATATGGGTAGCAAACGAATGAGGTTAAGGAAAACTTTATTTTGAAAACTTTTTGCAGTGGGTTGCCATCTGTTTAAAAGTCAATCCCATTTTTTTTATAAATTTAATAATGTATTACAGTGTGGGTGTAAATAATAAGAAAAATTTCTATCGTAAATATTTTTAAAGGGGGTTGCCATTTATTTTAATTTGACAAGTTTTTAAAAGGGTTGCCACCTGTTTTATATGACTGGTTTGTGCTTTTATGCAGATACATTTTTTAAAAGAAAAGCCACCTTTAAAATTATTTAAAAAGGATATAGTACAAAGATAGCTACGAAAGATTGGTTAAGTTAAACCGAACTTCACGTGGGCGAAGCTGCGGGCAAAAGTTAGGACAATATATTTTTGTGAAATAAGTTTTGGATCTATAAACTCTTGAAACGAACTGGATGCTTAACTTCTTAAGTAATTTGATATTGTAAAGGTGTAGGCCATGATTTTTATGAATCTTCTGATTTAGCTGATTTGGACTTGAAGCTCAACAAAAAATTAGATAAAATATACGTTAAAAAAATAAGATTAAACAGATTTTGGAGAAAACAGTTCAACTTTTATTTTGGTTTAGTCACAGGATCATGTAAACAATTACATAGTCGAAACGCAATGCAACTCATTTTGAAAATTTTTTCATGTTTCATGAAAGTATAAAATTTTAAGTACCAGTTTTTTTCCACCACTGTACCACTGTAACCCCTTTTTAAAATAATGCACTCGATTCTGTATTATGTTCAATAATTCCCATCATGTGAGTATTGCATACCTGTAAACATGCTGACAACGCGGCATACACACGACAAGGGAACTTCTCATAGACACGCTAATACGAGGGATGTTTCCAAAATTCTGGGAACTGTGCTATAATTAAATTACCTATAGGCAATGTTAATGGTGCCCGACAAGTCTTGACGGGTATATGCAACTATCTAGTGCAATATTGTTCAGTCTGATTTAGGTGTTCGGCTGATATAGACGCCTTCTCATAGCACTGTTTTTGTAACCATGGAAGACGCAGCAAAATCTCAAAGAGCAATAATTTTTTTTTGTGGAAGGGAGGTGTGAAAACATCAGAAATTATTCAACGGACCACTGCGACAGGAACTTGTCAAAAAACGGCCTGGAAAGTTGCATAAGTGTCCGTTATTGCAACAGGATAATGCAATACCACACACCGCATGAAAAACGAAGAATGTTTCGAAGGATTTACGATGTGAATTACTTCCGCACCAATTACTCCCCCCGGATCATGCAGCCAGTGATTATCATATGTTCCCAGATTTGAAAAAAAAATCTTTGAAAGTTTAACTAAAGTAAAACGTGCCATAAATAGGTGGATTGAGGAGACACCGAAAAAGTTCTTTGAGGACAGCTTAAGAAAATTAGTTTATCTTTGGGATAAATGTATTCAGTTAAATGGAGATTATGTTGAACACTACATTGCAATATTGACGAAAATTAACAAAATAATAAAAATTATAGCTAAATTCGCAGAACTTTGGAAATATCCCTGGTACCTATATGTACAAATTTTCAAGTAGTGAGTGTGTATAAGAATACGTAAACATACATATGTATATAGTCCGTCCATAGAATCCAAATACATATATGTATGTATGTAATACTATTACATTTATGCACATATTCTCTCTTTATATGTAGTCATCTGCATTCTACCACTATTGTTTTGTACTTAACTTGTCTTGTATGTATGTATGTCAGGTAGATGGGTTAACTCAATGACAAGTGGAACACAAATATTCGAGTCCAATTGTGCTATTTATGTGTGCGAAACTCACCACTGAACCGGGATATTCTACATGTATATGAAAAATACATCTTTGGAATTTGCATATACATATGTGTATGAAGTATGTATCTAAGCTGCCAGGTTAAAAACGATGACTCCATTTTACTTGTTTTTCAACTTCGTTAATTTAACCAAATTACACGGTGTTACAAAATTAAAAAAAAAAAAAGCACAAACTTTTTAAGTCACCTAGAAAAGGTCCGTAATTCACGAAACTGTTTCCAAAATTTTTCTAACACCCTCAAATTTTCAACCTATTCTTCAAAAACCATTTTAGCATTACTTCCGGCACTAAAGAATTTTTAGTTCTGTTAATTTTTGACCAATTTTTGATTTTTACATGGCTTTAGAAAGTAGAATATTTGTACTATTTAAATAAATAATAAGTTTTGTGAGCACATTGTAAATATGTGGAAAATTTTTGGAATAAATCTGAAATTTAGACCAATTTTTATTATTTTATCCACTCTACCACATTTTTTGCCAAAACTTCATAAGAAAATAATCTCTTTTAGTCATTATTTCGGAAAAAGTATTTAATTTCGAGAAAAAGAAGGTACCAATTATTCAAATCAGTAAAACAAATTTTGAAGTTATGCCACTTATATAGAGACTAATTCAAGTATTTCCATTCGGATTATTGAAACTTCAAAGTGAATCCAATTCAACTGATTAAAATTTTCTGTGAAATTGCCATGGAAGTAATATTTGGAAGAATTCCAAAATTGTGTATTGATTTTTACAAATGATACCTAGTTTTACCTAGTTCAGGTAAACCATATGACCAGATATCTCCGTCTGGAATTTCAACCTGTAATTTCCTTCCAAAGCAGATTTCCTTTGGAATAGCGTCGGAGGACTCGCAAATTCCTAGATCTTGTATTTTGCTCGAAATACCTTTGTGTTGTGTCTTGTTTTTAAGAGTACGGTCAGAATTTTGAAATGCAAATTCCTCGAAGCTGCTGCTTGGAAACAATTATGTAGTGGAGTCCAACTTAGGCGCGACTCTAAGGCCGCGGTGGAGCATGATCTCATTTATCCTGTAACCGAGAGTAAAGTCATCCATTAGAGTTTGTTCAGACGTGAATCGGCAGTTTTTTGCAGCGTTTTTGGCCACCAGAGTATGGAGCAATAAAAAACAATACAATTGACTTAAGACCCTATGTTCGACGAAAAAAGTCTCCAACAGGCCAACATGGCTCAGGTGACTTTACCAAAAGTTTTGTCCAGATGGTAATTCCCAGTTAGTCTCATATCTAGGGTGACCGCAAGAAATTTGACTTCGTCAGAGTATTCAAGCACTGTTTCACCAAGGCAAACCCATACACATAGGTTGGACTTGTACCTTCTTGTAGGCGGTACCAAAATAGCCTTTTGCGTGTTTATACAGAGGCCCTCAGTGGCACCACCAGTTTAATACTACGCGCAGAGCAGCACTCATAACGTTTGCTACAGTGCAGCCGAATTTTCCCATCACAATAATGACAAGGTCGTCCGCATATCTATCAGCATCGTAACCACTTTCCTGTAGTTTGGTTAATAGCTCATCCACGACGTGAACGAGAAATAACACCTCCCTGTGGACACTCTCTAATGGCTCTGATGTTCACAGAGCTGTTGCCTAGAGAAGATGTCATATCACGGAGCACTTTATCTATCCGACAGTGAAAAGATCTATGCCTCATTGAACCAGTGCCCTTGAGATATATCCATGGGCGGTATTATCAAAATCTCCCACATAAGACAACCTCCTTAAAATCAAGGGCCCTTTCGATCTTACTAACCAAGCACTGTTGGGCGGAATGTGTAATGGGGTTGCGTGTCTCAGCTTATCGCTAATATGTAGGTCTGGCACTCTTTCGACGGTCTTTAAGATGAAGGAAGTTAAGCTAATAGGTCTGTATGATTTTGGTGAGTCGAGGTGCCTGTTGCCCGCTTAGGAATAAATAAGACGGATACCTTCCTCCAAGAATACGATATGAATCCCCAAGAACAACTTGCCCCAAAAAGACAGACCAGCGGATCGATGATGACATTAATGCATCTCTGCCTGCAACTTTGAAAGGTTCAATGGGCTCGGTCGCCCACAGTACTTTTGCCCTGTCAAAGATGGAGCCAGACCTGTTAGGACTTTACCCCTAAGGAACCTAAGAGTTATTTTCTCTGATGGTATTTACATATATCCACCGTCCAGTAGGCCACCGCCTTTCCGACTAATCTGTCAAATCCTCACAGGAGTTAAGTTTCTTTGTACCTGAAAACGGAGACTCTTGCCTCATTCCTGAGTTCTTATCTAATGGTATTTGGGCGCACCGCCAGCAAACGTCCACAAGTTTTTGACGATATGATCGCCGCTACTCTCACTGATCAGCTAGACTTTCAGAATTTTCATTTACCTGAATACATACACTTTCGACTGTCACGGAACTAAGTGCAAAACTATAAGACGAGACTCAACCAACCACTTAATCCTGGACATACATATGTATGTATTAGTCGTGCAAGTTCCCTAAACGGTACTTCGCAATAGTAAAACAAAAAATGAAAAAGTAAACTATGCCTGGTTTTTGCTGTGAAAATTGAAATTTAAAAACTTTAAATAATCGGCAAAATTTAATTCCGATGTTTTCTTTTAGATTTCTTCAATAGACTGCATTTCTTATCGTTATTTTCTCAAAAAAACATGGATGATGAGTAAGTTCTTGCAGCGTTTACCTTTAGCTTTTCAGAGCTTTAAATACGTTCAGTGATTATTGCATCCTACCAGCAAAGAGAATACCTCATGCCAATACACGTACGGACTCCTTTGGAAACACCATTGGCGTGGCATCCTCATGTTGCTAGTGCCCATAGTATTCTTGCCAATAATGGTACCAGCATATGAACCGGTAAGTCCCCAGTACTAACAGACTGCAAAATAATTGCATTTAATTTACTTTCGATTACATTTTTTTGTTGACAGCATAACCGCACCATTTATGTCTTCGTGGTAATGGCGGTCTTCTGGTTGGCCGAGGTAACGCCGCTGCAGGTGACTGGTTTGCTGCCGATTGCAGTGATGCCATTTCTTGGTATTTTGGTAGGAAGAAGTATTTATTTTCTATGACAAAGCCATTGACTTGAAAATTTACAATCTCAATCCATCATTGCAGGATACGGATGATGTGTGCAAGAGTTTCTTAACCACCTCTTTGGCGATTTTTATAGGCTCCACTATAGTCGCTCTTGCTGGAGAATTTAGCAATTTGCATACGCATTTAGCACTCGGTTTACTCACCACGATTGGTTGCAGTCCCAGGCGGTAGGCAGTAATATTTTCTTTGATTGCAAGGAAGCTTCTAGTCAAATTATTATTTTTTCAGTGTGCTCTTTAGCCTTATCATCACTACGGGTTTTTTGTCCATGTGGATGCAGAACACCATTGTTGTAGCGCTAATGTTGCCCATAGTGAAGGCGGTGCTCAACGAGTTTGAAGTGGTATGTAATATTTGATGAGGCAGCGATTTATCCGCGTACCCATGTAAATATATGTGTGATTTGTGTTTGCAGGGTGGACTGAAAATCCGAGAGGAGAATAAGCCTGATCAGGAGGAAGAGTGCGTAATTTTGCTATATGCTTGAAATATCACTCGCTAAAAGTTTTTTCTTTTGAATCTACAGAGACCGAGAGGCCTCCCCTATTGCTATTGGCTACTACTTGGGTGTGTGTTATGCGGCAGCAATAGGCGGCTGTGGTACACTCATCGGCTCGGCAACACACTTGGCTGGCAAAGGAATGTATCAAATGTGAGTAGGCAACAGAATAATTTAATAACAAACTTTGAGAAAACCGCTTATGACCGATTTCGTGAGCCTTGCTTTACTTCTTTAGTTAAAAGATCATTCCTGCATTTCTTGTCTAGGCTCTGTCTGAACCAGCCAGTCGCTCCAGCCAAAAGCCTAACCGGCGCTCATGTACTTTGGGTTGGTTTAGAAGGGTTTTGAAGTTTTTCAGAAGTCTGAAAGTTCTCTCTCTGCGCTTATATAAGGCCTTCAGCGTAGACTACTGCAAACGCGGAAACACTCCGGGTGGCAGGCGGTTGTATATGTAAACCGTGGTAGATTTTTTGAAAGGTTTTAATTTTCCCTCCCGGTTGAGCCTCGATTTATTAGATCCCAAATTAAGATCTGACACTTGTTTTATCACCTTCGGCTATTAATATTTGTTCTATAACAATCTCTTGAGGCCAGTTATCTAAAATATTATAGTCTCCGAAACGCAAGTTATTTTTATGAGAAGCTCTTCGTTGATAGAAACTCGCGATCGACTGAGTCTCCCTGAACTCTCTCCGAGTACTACACCCGCTAGTGAAATAAAATTACTACCTATATTTAGACCTCACAAAAACGTGAGTCCGTATGATTTGGCGATAGCATAGTTCCTGGCAAGAAACTGTGTCTACACAATCAGTTTTTCCGTCTGCCAACCTGCCGAGCATTGATATGTTAGGTGCTGAGTTGTGTACATCAGTTACATACGCCTCTTTTTATCTTCCTTTTTTCTTGATAAAGAATCTGTCTTATATCTCTTTCATCCTTTGAGGTCAAATCCTCATTGATCCATGAGTGTATTGTGAAGCTTAATGCCTTGGCTAAGAAAAATACTGACACGGATACCATGGTTTATGAAACTCGCAAGCTGATCAGTTAGCCAGAATGCTGCCTCGATCCCGATAGGACCTGAACCCTTCCTTGCGGTAGGACCTAGCGCGATAAAAGAAGGGCTCGGAACGGAAAATTTCAAACTCAGAGAACTCCATAGGCAAAACACAGTTAGCCTTCGTCAAGCTAAGAGCTTAATAGGAGGTACAACCTAAAGAGACTCAGCTTACGCATAAACCTACCCAAGGTGAGGCTAAGAAATTTTACTATTTTTTTTGGTTCATTGTAGGTGTAGTTTTTGAAATTATTGAATTAACTTCTTTTTCAATTTATGTAAATCAAAAAGAAAATTTTTGATTACTTCAGAAATTTTTCTTCTTTGAAACTCAAAATACATAAAATTAAAATTTTATAAAATTAAATTTTTTTAACTACACCACAGTAGGCTAAGAGGCTACTTGCATAAATATATGTCACTTTTGTGTCTCCGCCAAAGTCATTGCACCTTCTCCTGGAACGTGAGGCCGTCTCATGGAGAAGGGCGAGATACCTAGGACGTCTATTGCACTTACACTCCCATCCACCGGGACCTTTTCTAAGATTTATAGAGCCCTTAGGGCTAGATGTATACTAGTGCATACTCTTTATATCTAACTATCTACCATATATATACATAAGATCAGGACGATCGTATTCATTGTTCTTGTTTCGATCTGCATACTTAATTGTAAGAGGAGCAAAAGTCAATATCCGTCGTCCGGTCCTTCTTTTCTCCTAAACCAAAAATATTTAAATCAATATCCGATTCCTTCTGTTTTGGGGTCACTAAAAGAAAAAAATAAAATTGGAAAGAGGCATCGCCGAAAACTCAAGCATTACTTGAGTCCTCTGAAGTATAAAAAAAAAATACCTTAAGAGAAGATTTTAGGTATTAGGTAAGAGTACCTGAGTTCTTCTTCAGAGACGGTTGCGAAGTCGAAACAAAATAATTTAAGATCGAGATAGGCAGACAACTTAGGAGAAAATGAGGATGCAATCCTACCGCATCGTTCTCCTGTGCAGTCATTCTTAGGGTCTCGTAGGGTTTTTTGATCAGCTGAACATGTCTAAGTCAGCTTAAGTTGGAACTGTCCCAGAGTAACACTCGTCTCCTGACACAGTTTAAATTCTTCCTCTGCTACAAATGGTAGTTGGAGTCCAATTACGGCATTCACGGAGCTAGGTCAATATAGAATGGTGGCAGTATGGTGTTCCTGCTCCTAATTAAAGCGGAACATTTTCATAAAAGGTGTTTCCAGATTCGTTTTCATTCCTGCAGAAGTCATTGAAGGCGATGTCGAAAACCGCTATTAGCCTTGCAGACCCGGGTTTTATGGGTTGTATACCCTTTAAGGGCTATACACTGACCACATGAGTTTGGATATACGGCAGCCTGCCGTCATGCGCCACTTTTGAGCCGATTTCTGAAGAATGTGGAGATAGATTTCTCTGCATATGGTTCCAATTGGAGTGAGATCCGGTCCTCGATCGAAGTCGATGTGGCCAACTCGTCTGCAGCCTCATTTTGGGAATTTTGCGATGACCAGGGACCAACACCAAATCTAGAACGAGCTGAATACTTACTATGTTTACAAGAGTCCTACACACCCTTATCAGTTTCGATTTTGTTGTATAAGACGCCATGGTCTTAATGCCCGCCTAACTATCTGAGAAAATAGCGACACGCTCGCCGTGACGTACATAGACCGCTACTTTCTGAAAGATCTCAGCTATAGCAAATACTTATACCTCGAAAAAAGACTTGTGAAATCGGGTAGATGGATTGATCTTCTTAATCCAATCCCAGGGATGCGGATTAAGCACTTACTCCAACTCCGCGTTCCATTTTGGTCGGTTCTTGGCGGGAGAATGACCCCAAACGGCATGTAAAACTCTTAAGAAATCAGGTCTGTAATAACATTTAGGGCGTCAGTAGAGCAAGTTGTCATTGCTTCTGTAGTCCCAATGCGCGCGGCCCTCTGAACTCTCCCTAGTTTTACATGATTATACCGGCTGTCCACCATACCAAGAAACCGTAGCATAAAATCGGACGTACAACTGCGGTGTACATCCAGAGTACAACTTTTGGACTAAGACCTCATGTCTTCACAAAACGCAGCTTCACTGAGCTAGAGCTCACGAAGGTGTAGAAGTCTATCGTGGAATTTACTTTAAGGCGTGTTTGTACACTATCGGATCCAACGTTGGCTTTATATTGGTCTAGGATTCGTCCGCTCGTTCATCGGTGCAGCGTAGTGGAGAACCAAGAGAAGAAAGGTCGCCCACGCGCACAATGAAAGAACTAACGGCAGAAGCAGCAGTTTGTATTCGGGCGTAAATCCGCAAAAGAGAGGCAATTGGCAAAGGTTTTTGATCTCGGCCAAAATCGAAAAACGGTTGCAGTGCCAAATAGGAAGAAGTTGAAAACCGGTCGGTTAATTGCTTTGTATGTTGCCAATAGCGTTCGCCTTTTCCCTTAGGTGCTGCCGCTTTGTGTCTTGAGAAGTTTGTTGCTACAATAGCTGTTGTATGTGCGGAGAATATGACCAAGCTATTGAAGATAACTCCTTTACTTTCGGGTTATAAACCATCGGTATGGGTATTTCATCCATGCGATTGCCTAACAATAGCTTCAACTATTTCTTTCAATTTTTAAATAGGGTGACGAAATTAGAAATATCAGAAAGATCTATGGAACACCGTCACCATAGAGATACCGTGGAACCTGCTGCTAGAATATGTAGCCGAGGAAACATATGCCTAAATTAGGTATGTTGGCTTAAATATCTTCCGAATAGTAGATGACAATGCGTAATACTTTTGTCGATTTCGGAGTCATACCATATTCAGTGTCATTTTTCGTTCTCGCACGATAAGGAAGGAAATTGGTTCCCATATACATCACATGCTTACTCTGCCTGGAGAAAAAACCATTGCCAGCAAGACAATTATTAACTTCTGATGCTTTAACCTACCTTTTTATTAACTTCTGATGTTTTAATCTCCAGTATTTATGAGTCCTAATGAGTAATATTTCTTGGTAGTAGACTACATAGATAGATATTAAAATGAGGTATGCACTGCGACCTAGTGGTCCATTTTGCCCTCTCCTCTTCACAGTACTTCCTCTAAGCCTACATCCTACATCCCTTAAGAACAGCAGCAGCGCCTTCGAAGGTAGGAAGTGAATGTGCTCAAGCTGTGGTCACATCCGAGCCTAGTCTTCTCTCACGTCCTCTGCAGATGGCATCACACTCAATAAGAATATGTAGGGGTGTCTCCCATGTCGGTTTACAGAAGCTATATAGGTCATTTGACCATATTCCTAGTTCATAGGGAGATGCCCTCTTAGTCTGTAGTGTGCTGTAAGCATACCTGTTAGTATTCTAAGTTTCTCCTTGGGGAAGTTAATCAGGTTTCCCCAGCTTCGTTAATTTTTTACCTTTACTCTCATTTCAGCTTATACCCGAACGCCACGGAACATATTACTTTCCCCAGATTCATGGTCTACAATCTACCTTGGGTTCTAGTAGCTTTAATACTCTTGTATCCAATTCTTCTAATTACAAATCTTGGATTATTTAGCCCCAAAAGCGAGACTGGTGTTGCGCTATTCAATTTTGGTATCAACTCTAAAGATGTGGCAGCCTCAGTGAGGCAGAAATTTGAGAATATTGGAACTATAAACTTACAAGAAATTCAAATTCTTATCTTATATTTGCTTATGATATTCTTGCTTATATTTCAATCGCCAGACATTATGCCAGGCTGGGCGGATCTCATACAAAAGAAATAGTAAGAAAAATCAATTATGGCAAGCGGATATTCGGCGGTCGTGGGATTATAATTTTAATTTATATTAAAAATGTGTTTTTGTTTTTTTTTTTCTTCTAGTTATATAACAGCGCCAACGGCAATTATTCCCTTTGTTGCAATGCTCTTTTATATACCCGCCAATTATGTTTGCTGCAAATTTTGTTGCGGATATGGTGAATTCATATACTTGCACGCACCTCTATAGAGCGTATCAGACTTGGCAATATTTCCAACTTTTCCACGCAATTCGCTGTCAAATTGAGAAAGAGAAATTTTATTTCCATGTGTGAACAGCCAGAAAGACCCATAATGAAATAATATAAAGTGTACCAGGTAACTTACGTCTTCATATTTGAAAGCAAAATTTGATTTTGTTATTATTTTATATTTTGTTTCTGGTATTCGCTTTTTTCAATTCTGGCATTTACCCTTGGTTTTGTTATGCCTCTGTCAAATTTCGGCCTAGATCCTCATCCTTACGGACTGAAAACATAAGTACTGCAACGCTATGTGTGCTTTTGTACAAGCGGCAAGAATTTCTTGGCATGTTTTCTTAAATTTTAAAAAATTCATAAATTCTCACTCAAAAGGGTAAAGGCTCTGTTATGCATACTTGGCATTGCATGCACTGCTATACCATTTTTACGTAGAAATCAAAAACCTACAGACTTTTACGTATGTTATGCTGTGCGTTGGGTAACAGCTTACACGCGAAGCTCATTTAACAGATTCCTTATGTGACAACTCTCAAGCAATGCCAAGTATGCATAACAGAGCCTTTACAAGCTAACAAATCAAAGAAAAATGTATTATAAGAAATTGTCAAATAAGAGTAGGTACCGAAATAGAATGTCATAGCTATCTGGTACATTTTATATTATTTCACTATGGAAATACCTTTCTGTCACTTTTCGAAAATCAGTTTGCAAGGTGTGACTGCAACTCAAAGCGCGCAAATCGATTTCGGAAAAATATATTTCAACTTGCTCGTGCTGCACTAGCAATTTGCAATTCGCCTTTCGGAAATAAAAAAAAACCCTTTCGAAAGACACTTTACATGTAAGGTGTGACTGCTCATGCAACTGCTTTCTGAAATTTCTCAATTTGACAGCCTCTTCGAAATATATTGCATACGAAATATAGTGCCACATCTGTCACGCTCTTATAAGAATTAAGTCGAACACTCATTAATGGTAAATGTATGAATTTCATAGGTCCTTTTCCGAATAAGGCCACCTTACCTTTACTCTCGTGGAAATATGTTGAATCAAATTTTCCTTGGTACACAATTTTAGTACTTGGTAAGACATACTCGTACATACATACACTCAAATAGTTGGTTACTTATCATAAATGCATTTGCTCTTTATTTTCTAGGTGGCGGCTATGCGTTGGCAAAGGCTTTCTTAGAGACTGGTTTAGCGCCGTGGCTTGGGAACAAGATGACATTTTTTGAGTCCTTGCCAGTACCAATCTTACAATTTCTTGCTATAATTTTTGGTGTGCTTATCTCAACGCTGCGTACAAATGTGGCAGCTTGTAATGTTGTCATACCACTGTTGAGTGAAGTGGTAAGTTAAAGCATGGAAAATTCGCTAACAAAATTTAGTAATAAAAAATTTAAAAGTTATAAAGGGCTATCACAGATTCCGAGTGAACTCCCGTGGTGAAAAAATCTTCCGTCACGAATTCGGGAGAAATGCTATCAGCAATTCCGATGCATTCGTAGTTAGTGCTGCCTTCGGTTTTTGTTTGTTTTTATGTTTTGCTTTAATAATTCTAAATCAAAATAAAATAACTCGAAATCATTGATACCATTCTCACGAATTTCGAATTTGTCGGAGAATTTCGTGATCACGACGGAATCCATGATAGCATCACATAACATAACACAAACGTATCGTTCGATTTTGAAAATTGAGGCATCAAATTATAGGGCTTGACCTACAGATGGGTAATAAGGCTTTATTTTTTTGGAAAAGAGTTGCCAGCTGCTAAAAGTTAAATTCAAATTATTTAACTAGTTAAATGAATCATTAAAATATGGCTAGCAATCGAAATCGTCTTGGCAAGCCTTTATTTTTAAACTTCATGTAGGAGGGTTGCCACCTGTAAAAAAACATCAAAATCAACTTGAATTAAGACGAAAGAGGGTTAAATAGGTTCTAATTTAAAAATATTTTGAATAGGGTTGCCACCGAAATCGGGTTTAATTAAATGGTTGTTAAACGAAAGAGTGATAAGAAATCTTCAGGTTGAAGATTTAGAATGTTTCTGAGGAGTTTAAAAATTTAAATTCAAATTATTTAACAAGTTAAATGGATTATTAAGATACACTGGCGATCAAAAGTGAGTGCATTGTGTTTTTTCCTAAATATTTGCAACGTTTTTCAAGTTAAGTTTTTTGTTATATTTTTATAAAAATATGGCCAAGCTTTAATCAAAACCACATAAGTCAAACTTTCAAACCTTATACAGAACTCGGAAAAATTCAACAAATTTTCGTCTAAATTTTGGACTTTTTAGTCTGAATTTTTGGAAAAATTTTGAGTACGCCGATTTAATTCTAGTAAAACAAGTGCAACTTTTAAGCGGCTAAAAAATTGCGTTGATTTTTATTGCTGACATCTTTTTGCACTTTTAACCATATAAAAGGGAATTTCTTGTAGAATAAAATGCGTAAGACCGTTTGCAAACAAAGTTAAAAAAATTAACGCTATATTTCATAAATTGCACTTGTTATATGCATAAATCCGCAAAATCCGTCGGAAAAAAATTCATTAAAAATCAACGCGATTTCTTTCACTTGTTTCACTAGAGTTACATAATCGATCTATCTAGAACCAAAAATTTTTCTAAAACTTCAGATTAAAAAGTTCAAGCCTTAGATAAAAATTTTTTGAGTATTTCTGCGTTCTGTACAAAGTTTGAAAGTTTGACTTATGTGGTTTTGATTAAAGCATGAACCTTATTTGTATAAAAAGTAACCAACAAATTTTAGGTAGAAAAACATTGCAAATATTGAACACAAAACACCATGCACTCACTTTTGGTTGCAAGTGTATGTGTAATTTGTATTTTTTTCAGGGTGGTATAATTTCTTTAAGAAATTTCGATAGAAGAAAACTTCTTTTTCGCTTGAGCGTTTTTAACCGACTTCACAAAAAGGAGAAGGTTTTCAATTCGTCGGAATATATTTTTTTTATGTGGGTATGTTATTGCACAACTTTGGACCACGTCAACCGATTTCTATAATTCATTTTTGTTAGGAAAGGTGTTACCTCACAAGGGGTCCCATACTAGTTGGGTTTAAATCCGATGATTGGATCATGAAGAAATTAACGATAATCTTAAATTTTTATATGAGAATTAAAGTCGGTTTTGCTTAAAAATTATTTGTTTATATAAGTTTTTTGTTTTTCTTCAAAGCTGGCTACTAGCTATGCTTTAATTTAAATTTACTCCTTATTTTTATTTCCCCATTAGTCACGTGGCGCCAAAACGCATCCGTTAAATTTGATTCTCCCCGGAACTATGGGATGTAGTATTGCATTTCTTTTGCCCTTTAGTACGCCGCCAAATGCTTTCATAGCGGCGAATGCGAAGATCGGCACTAAGAAAATGGTGAGTAGTTCCTGTTTACAACACTATCATAAACTTTGGCAAGACACAAGCATATATTTAATCATTAAATTTAAAACTAATTTTGATAAAGAAGAAGTATAATAATTCATTACAAATTAAACGAACCTAAAAAAATATATATTTTTTTTTAAATCAATAAAATCTAAAAGTTCAAAGAAAGGTAAATTCAAAAAGAAAAAATTTTAATGGAAAAAAAGAAAAAACAAAGTAAGTTCTCTAAAACTAGCGGAATTAAAAATATATTTTTTCGTTTTACAAAGATGTAATCTAAAAATAAAAAAAAAATTAGAAAAAGAAAAAGGTCAAAAATTAGATGAAAAAAAAAATTCGTTTTAAAACAATAATATCTAAAATTAAAAAATATTTTTAAAAATGAATTAAATAAAAAAAAAATATATTTCCAAAAATTTAAATAAATTAAAAAAAATATTTTGCTTTCCAAAACAAAATATAAAAATAAAAAAAAAATAAAAAATTAATTAAACAAGAACAAACTTAAATTAAAAAAATAAATATTGACAACAGTCGTTGCTTGAGCTGATCTACTCTTTTCCCAGACTGCCAGTCCACTGGCTCACTTTGGTGAATACCACTACCATTTAAAATTATCTTGCCTACTATCTTTTAATTGTCTTACAAAAGAGTTGCAACTATCCTGGCTAGAGTTGCCCAAATTTCGGAACTTGCATTCGAAGGGAAACTCGAACCATTCATTTCCATTTGAACATCCTCTTCTCATTCGAACCCTTTGTTAAAATATGAACTAATTATTTTTTTCTTTTTCTTTTAAGGCTATTGCCGGTATAATACCTACAATTACAGCAATATTACTTATCTACTTAACTGCTCTAACTTGGCACTTCATTCTGTATCCAGACACCAAAGAATATCCGGATTGGGCCAAGCTGTAAACTACTGTAAAAAAGTGACAAGCTTTGCGGCAACTGAATTCCGAATGTAGAGGTGATAGTCGGCATTCGTAATTTCGTGCAAGTTTTTATTGTTCTTCGTTTTTTTTTAACTATTTGTGTTAGTAAAATATGTTTATTTATATTTTTATTCTACCTTTAATAAAAGGTTGAGTCCAAAAGATTTTGGCAAGGCAACTTTTTATTTTTTTTTTGGTCCAACCGGGGAGTCGCTTTTTTAAATTTTTCGGTGACACCTACATTCGGAAATAAAAATATATATGTACATATATTTTTTTTTAAATACATAGTTCTACTAGAATAACCAAAAAAACTTCCTAGCAAAAGAAATAAATAATTTTTGACGAGATATAATTTACAGACATCAGGGTGATAGGAATTGAGATCTGGTGGGTAAGTACTAGATCGGGGTACTTGAGGCCTCTCTTCTTCTTCTTCTTAGGCTCTGTAACCGCCTACGCCATTTTAGCCTAGTTCAACAAAGCACGCCTATCGCTCCTCTTCTGTGCCAACTGACGCTAATTGGAAATGCCACGTGAAGCCAAGTCTTTCTCCACTTGGTCTTTCCATCGCATTGGGCGCCTCCCTCTTCCTCTGCTACCACCAGCGACTTCCGAGTTGAATGCTTTCAGGGCTGGAGCGTCGGTGTCCATTTGAACAACAAGGCCGAGCCAGCGGAGCCGTACACATATTTACAGCTCATCGTTCCATCGTCTGCGGTACTCGCCGTCGCCAACGCGTAAAGGACTGTAAATCTATCGCAAAATCGTTCTCTCGCATACTCCAAGAGCCGTCTCATCGGATGTTGTCATTGTCCATGCTTCTGCGCCATGGCGACTTCTACGTTCAGCACAAAAAAAAATTAAAAAATTAGTGATTGCCTTGCAAAAATATTTTAAACTCAACGGTGACTATCGAACTTTTTTTTCTGTTACGGTCGAAGGTTCATAGTTAGCGGGCGGCCTCCATAGGCTGATATTGTTGTTGTAATATCATAGAATGCTGCTAGGATGACAGTCCTTGGAAGATTTATTAGACGGCATCTACGATTATTCCGAGTCCATTTGCTTCGAGCTGGAGATGCATTCTTTGCCTGCGGATCTATTAGCGCATAGAGCTATTTCTTGCTTTTTTATGCTTTTGTAGTTCCTCGAAATAGCTATTCCACTGAGATGGCAGGCTGAGGTATAAAAAGTCTGAAAGGTAATTTGCTGACTTATTAATTTTATCATCATCGGTATTGATACGTAGTATGTCTATGAATACGATCGATAACTAGCCCTCATGCAAATAGATAGCGACCCACCGTTTCGGGCTAATTGACACCGAAATATGATTTCACGGTAGCAGATCTATTCGTAGAAGCCCAGCCAAAGGCTCTTAGTTAAATCATCCTTGGTTGCTTAAGAAGCCGATTTCAAGTCGAATTAATCGTAACATTCCACGGAAAAAATAAATGTCACATATTATTAGAGTATCGCTATTATTTTTATTTTTATTTTTATTTTTATTTCTTTACAACATAAATTAATTTGAGATAATTTTTTAAAACTATTACGAACGTACATAAATATGTGTTTATAATTGCAAAAATATAAAGCATAATTTTAAGAGTTAAGTAAGTAGCAGCCGTGTTGCTTTCAAACACCTTTCGAATAATTGGTTGGCTGTCTGTGTTTTCTTTTATCTCTGCAAAACAATCAAATAAAGCAATCAAAAATGTGTAAAATAGCTGGATGATCGAAGGATCTTAAATAGACGACTACAAAAAACTTTGCACAAGCTCTGTTTGCTGTGCGCTCTCTGCTGAGTTGTTAAACAAATGAAAATATGCAGTGGACAACAAATGAGTTATTGAACTAAGAGTAAAGATAGACATTCGGCGCATGAAATGAAAGTTTTATAATGCACAAGAGAAGAGTCGTAGATGGGCACAAGGTGTATTACACATTATACAATTATATTTTTTTTAATTATACATTTTGGATGGGCATTATTTTTTGTTTTTGATTTTAAGTTAGAGATAGAGTTGGTTAGCGTTAGTATAATTAGAGAAAAAGAACAAATACTATTAAATGAACAGATGTATGTATAGAGGAGGCCGTTGGGAGCTGTTAAGCGCGGAGGAATGTGAATTGCGAAGATATCGATGCATTTTATGGTGCTGTGTAGTTTGTGATCTTAAAAAATTTGGTACTACACGTTCTCCAACATGCTAGGCAGAAAGTGAATTTTGGTTCAAGCTCGTTTCACATTAATTTTTATGCTTGTGAAAATATTTAAAGAACAAAATGTATGCAAAAGAGGAGAATGCATTTAAAGTAGCATACAAGCAATCTTTTACCAATAGGAAAAAAAATGATTTCGAACAGTGTGTCGTTTTAGTAAGAGTGCAGCATACAAATATGTATATGCATGTGATATTAATATGAATCGTAGCCTGCAAGTGTTATATGAATCAAATGACAATAATGCGCAATTAGTTTACCGTGATCTTCACAATGTTTTCTTCTTATCATTTTCTTGCTGTTTTATGCTTTATGACAATGGTATGTATTTTGCATGAAATACTATTTCCATGATCAACTAAAATTATTAAAATCTATTATTGTATTGAAATTAATTTGAACTTACGACTACTATAAGTATAACGGGATTATTGTGGCGGACAACAATTGGCCTTTTGAGTTTTCTGTTTTCGTTTAATTATTTGCCTACACAGTAGTTGGGTATCAGTAGGGATTTGTAAAATTCCAATATACTGATGACGCAATCTTTGAGTATACATTGCACGGAAAGGAAAAGGTGGGAGGAACGATTCTGATTCACGCCTATTTTTAAGAAATAAGAACAAAAAAAAAAACAACATTATTAGTTGCATGTTTTAAAAAATAAGTTGTAGGTAAATATATGATTGATAATTGAATAATTTGAAATACACACATATTTTTATGTAGTAAGTACAGCTCATCGGGCCTAATGCACAGTTTTTTTTTGCTTAATTTTTAATTTTTACCTATTTTCTACTCATATTATCTATACGTTTTTCACACTTGGCAAATTTCTATAATCACATTACATATAACTAGCTAATGTTTATATAATATATGTATATATATGCTTATTTATATGCATGTATCTATGAATGTACGTATTTAGTATTCCCAAGTAATTTTTTTTTTTAGTATTATGTAATGCGAAAACTTATTTTAAGGCGCTTAAAATTGCTTATGTTAAGAAATTGTATTACAAAGTAAGCAGAAAACTCGAACTTTAAAAGTCGCATAGATGAAAAAATTGACGAAATTGGAAATTTTGATTTAAGACTTCTTTGCAAACACCTACAGGTTGCATTTAATAGTTGAGTAGCCCACTTCCAAATAGCGTCATTTGATTTTGGAATAGTTAGCCATAAATTAAAAAAATAACCACTACGACAACAAGTAACATCTAAATTGATTCATCTGAAAAAATAGCAGCAAAATAAAATTATAACATAACATAACATAACAGTCTATACGACCTAAAGCAGCTTTCTAAGTTCATCAGAAGATGGAGACTTTTGAAAGTTTATAATAGGGACTTTTGCAAAAAGAGCTAACATTTGATGCTTTTTTTCAGAATATAGAAAGATTTTGCACTGTTTTGTTATTGGACCTGAAACAAAAAAAAAAATCGAAAAAATTTTACATAGCACACTGCAAGTGGACTACTCAGTTTGAAAAACAAGTCCAAATCAGGAAAATTTCGTTACAAACAAATGTTGTTAACTTCAGAAAAAAATACAAGCAAAAATCTTCTACTTACATATTAAACCGACAAATTAATGAGTCTATTGGATGGATAGCAATACAACTTCCTACCCACTATATTTAAGTACCATGAAGTTGAAGATAATAGAATTTTGAGGCACCAGCAACCAAGGTTTGAGTAAAAAAAGCTGCAGAAACAGCTAAAAAGTTAAGTAAATTTTCTGAATTAAAATTTTCGGGGCAACCACAAAAATGCAATTGCTAATATAGAAACTCAGTTGTCAGCTGCCATCTGTAATATCATTTCAGCCACTGGCAACGCAATTGTAGTTCGGTTGCCATCCGTAATCGGACTTCTGAGCTAACTAGCATCAGAACAAAAATGCTTTATTACTTATTTACTATGAAGAGAGAATGACGCAATAGTTTCCTACTAACTAAGTTTAAGTAAACAAATCGAAATTTTAAATTTATTGTATACTAGTTTTAAGCGGTACATGAATTTTAAGGAGTGTTTTCATAACCGAAATGTCTTACTACGCGCAGTTAATAAACGAATAAATTTTTTTTTTTTATATTTTATACCTGCAGTGGCGTCTAATATACAACCTGCTGATTATTAAGTGCATCCAGTGCGCAGTAAACCACACCGCCTGGTGCTCTAAGCCTCAGATCAAGCCAGATTTATTACAAATATATCTTACAAAATTTTGGGACCAGTTTTTAAGTGCGCAGCTGTGGTTTAAACTTAGTTTAAACGCTCGACCTAGCTGGTTTAAACTAGGATTAGCCAATCAAGTGTAAGCCGGATATTCAGGGCTACAACTAACCCGTCGCAGTCCGAAATTTCGCGAAATCTACAATGATGCTATCACTGAATCCGAATAGCTGCGAACGAAGCATACACTTTGAGTGCATACGTTTGTGGCAATTCGGATTCAGTGATCGTATTTTCGAACATTTTACGAAAATCGGACTATGATGGTTTCAGCGATAGTCCCAGATTAAATAGTATGAATCCAACTTACGTGATATAAGTTTAAACGGACAATGAACAACTGGCACTTAGAAACTTAAGTCACACATACTTATGTATTTTAAAGAAAACATCTATTGGAAGCATTTTTTATGTTTATCTAATTGGCAAACTATGCACTACAATAAGCAATATCTTCTATACAGTTAAGTTCTTGATATTTAATACTTATGAGCTAACTATTTAGAATATTTTTTGTGAGTTGCAAAGTCGAAAGTATAGCGTGGCGACGAATAACTGTTACCCAGGATTTTTTGAGAAATAAAAGGGTCCTTTATAGATTTTGCGAAAAAAGTATTTTATTGTTAAATTTACACAGGTTTTACTTTAGTTGTATTAATTAGTTTTTAAATTTTAATCCCTATTTACATTTGCCAGCAGGGTAAACT